CATCATTTGATACAGTTGTTCAAAGTTGGCCTTACGAAAGTTGTAACAGTTTTTGTAGTTATTAATTAGAGGACATGAATATTTTATATTGAAGTCTAATTTTACTGATATTAACAAAGCTGGATGATGAAGGTCCTCTCTGATTAAGGTGTCAGAGGATCTTTCGACAGAACAGTTGCTATTGAATAAAACAAGATCAAGGATATGATTATTAGTGTTCAAAATAAGGTTATGTTGTTGCATGTGGAACATGATAGAAAAATTATTCAAAATTGTAATTTGACGATTGCCCTGATTCGTTCTTAAATACGTAGAATACTGTGAAATATTGAAATCGCCTAAGATGAGGACATTACTAGTGCTGAGACAATCTAATGATTCAAGAGCATGAAATAGTTCTTCAAAATGTTCGAGAGATACTTTTGGAGATACATGGACATTGATTACAAAAAGGGACCCTGTGTCACATGTCACTTGAACTGCAACTATATCAATACTAGCTGATAGATTTCGGAATGGTCTTGAATTCAGATCAACGGTAGATGATGTAAAAATGTTGTTAACTCCAATGAGAACGCCACCACCTCTGGTGCAGTTAGTAGCGAACATGTCACGATCAGAACGATAAACGAAGAATGTGTCTGGAAATATTTCATTGTTTGATATTGATGCATCTAGCCATGTTTCTGTCAGGGCGATTAGAGAGAAATGTGATTGGTAAATGGAACTCAAGATGTCAGTTGTTTTTGTCCTCAGACCTCTGACATTCTGATAATATATAGAGAAATTTTGCAAAAGAGAGTTATTTACTTGAGAGACACCAATTGAGACACCAGTCTTTAACTGCTATTGAGACCCGAGCAAATTTCTCCTCAAACTATCACAGGCTGTTTTATACGCAGCGCATTTATCTTTCTCCCATACAATGTGATTTGTAGCAATACTAGAATTATTTAACTTCAGACAATTTGAACAGCTATGATCTTTAGATTTACAGTCTTTCAGGTCGTGATTACCACCACACAGAGGACATGACAGGGCATTTTGGCACGTACTGGAGGAATGATTATATTGATTGCATTTGAAACAACGATGTACTTCGATTGCATCATAAACAATGCAACTATCATAACCGACAAATAAATTTCCAGCCTTAATAACCCTCTCATATGAACCTCTGTCTAACTGAATCACTGCTTGGAATACATTATTATTCTTTTTCAGTGGGTTGATTTTCAAAATATTGCAGGACGATTCTTCTGAAAATATTTCTGGATTACATGTTTTCAGAAAAGCAGCAATCTGTTGTGCTGAATAGTTCTCCGACATGCCTACCAGTCGTACTTTTGGTTGTATGCCAGTCACTTCCTTAACGGTATACGAATCAGACATCTTTTGCTGTACTACTGACTTGATCAATTCGTTCTGGTCCTTACTTTTGCAACCTATGAGTAATCCGCCATTCTTGACATTTTTGATCTTTGTTAGTTGAAGATTTGCTTTGGAAGGATCAATGTTTTGAAGAATTTCCGCTTTCGTTTGATCAATGGGCTGACTTGTATTTTTAGGAAATACAATGACTGCAGGATGGGATTTGTTTTTCAAAATGTCTGAATATTTCGGAGGATCCGGTAAAGTAGAAATGCTCTTGGATGTTCTAATTTCCATCTTAATACATTAGATTTCTTTCTTGAATTCAGCTAAGGATGCATCAACTTTGGATTCAAGTAATTGTCCGATTTGAACCTGATTGATGACTATGCACTCCGTTGTACAGTCAGGACATCTATATGCAGATGATACATCTGTTATCATATCGGATAAATCCGATGTACGGTTGACAGATAAATGCAACATAGTTTTTCATAGACAACATGAATGGTATTCTGCAAATCAGCTGTTTCTCAATGTGGAAAAAACTAAATCAATGAGGTTTCATAACCGACAAAAATCATGTGAAGACATTGTATTCAGCTCAGATGGCTCTTCAACATCAAATGTTTCCAGTGATAGTACCCGTGTAACATTTCTTGGTTTTCAAATTGACTCTTGCATGCACTGGAAAAATCACTGATATCCAAACTGAATTCGTTATCATATCAATTCAGAACCACTAGGAATGTTTTAGAAATTAATCAACTTCTAACATTGTATTATGCACAAGTTGACAGTAGATTGCGATATGGTATATGTCTAAGGGGTTTATCTGTCTCTACACATGATGTATCCATTGCTCAAAAGCGAGTTTCACGTTCACTTGTCAATATATCGGTCCGTACTAGTTGCAGAAATGTTTTCCGGAATTATAGAATTTTAACAGTTCCTTGGTTAGTCATTTTTGAACTCACTTTAAACTCATTTCAGAATAAGTACAAACGAAAATAAACATCAACTCAATACCAGAACTAAAAATGACCTCGATATACCTTTTAATAAATACATTGTATCTTTCAACTCTCCTCTATCCATAGCGCCGAGGGTATTCAATAAATTGCCAAACTATATCGAAGAAAGTAAAAATACAAATATATTCAAGAAGCAAGTACCTACGTGAATATTTAATAGAAAAATGTTTGTATAATGTTGAAGAGTTCATGTCCTGAAAATGTTTTTGTTGGTGAATTTTCATCTTCACCTTTTTATGTATAATATTTTGATATTTTATCACAATTTATCTATATTGTGAAATATTTTGAAATTTCATATTCTAAATTTATAAGTCAATTGTGTACCTTCTTAGTTTTAGTTTTTAGTATATTTTGACTATTCCTATACAATGTTCTGTTGTCTACTGGAAAATAAAGATCTTATCTTAATACACTACATACTGTTTTACCACTAACAAATCGATTATTTTACGCCTCGACAAGTGTTTCGCTAACTATATTAGCATCTTCAGGAGAAGATTAAAACGTTCATCACGATGAGAAAATGCATAGATATTTTTTAAATTTTTGGATGTATGATAAATTGATATTCATCCATCATTTCTTGAAGTTCCAGCCTGGCTAATCCAAATAGTGAGAGAATTCCTATGGAAAAGAATTCGAAATACAATATCTAATTACTTCACAACCTGCCAAGGTGTACCTCTAGGTTCGCCATTGTCATCATTACTTTACAACATATATTGCTATGATATCAACTCCCTAAATGTACAGGAAGCCAACCCTACCTATTACTTCTTACAATTGCTGTTGACACTGCCATTGTCTCTCACCAAAGTACCATTCAAAAAATTGTCCAGGAAATCCAAATAATGTTCGACAACAATCAGAGGTGACTCAGGAAATGAGGACTACGAACAAATCCTTCAAAGAGCCAATTAATCTTATTCAACCATGTCCCTTCCCTTTGAAGCATTATGCCAAACAACTTATTTTGGCGAGATATATACCCTGTTGAATGAAAAACCTCTCAGGTTCACCTAGTATGTTTTTGTAGATTCCTAAAATCCTAATGAATTAATCAATTCCAAAATATTGATCGATTTTTTTTTACTCTCCTCAAAGTTATGAGAAATACCTAGTTTCATCTCCATTTTATTGTAAAACCTCCAATGTTTTCAGAATTTTAAAGGCTGAAGAAATTCGGGCGATGACCATTTGGTCAGAATGTATATTTGTATATATGTCATGATCAATTAAGTATATATTGAGATGTTTATAATTCTTCACATATTACATACATACATATTACAGAACTAGACATCATATTAGATGGTTTTGATGATCAACTAAACAGCTTTGCTAGATTTTATGACTTGACGAGAGCATTTGACAAAGTTCGCCATGATTATTTACTATCTAAACTCGAAAGATATGGCATAAGAGGAACTCCATTAGACCTCATCTCTTAATATCTAGAAAATAGGACTCACTATGTTGAGCATGACAGCCAAATATCTGATGCTCATGCAGTGAAGTATGGACCCCTGTTTTTCATCATTTATTTCAATGATCTGGCTATTAATCTTGGTCAAATAGTAAACCAATTTTCTACGCTGATGATGCAACTTATATAGCCGCTAGCAAGACCATTCAAGAATCACTTATTAATCTAGAACAGTCTGAGTCAATATCCAAAGGATGGTTCTGCACAAACTGTCTGACTCTCAAGAAACAAAAACTCAGAATATTTTCTTTCCTACCACAAACAGCAATCACAGCGAACCTGTTAAGCTCTTAGGTATACACTTAGACTCGGAGTTTGATTTCGGTTATCACACTCAAGATCTATGCAAGCGCTTAGCAAGAGCAACATTTGGAATAAGAAAATTCAGGTATCAGTTAGATATCCAGCATTTAAGGATGGCCTACTTCTCCTTGTTTCATAGTATACTTACTTATGGACTAATAGTCTGGGGAAACTGTAGTCACAAAGAAAAAGTATTTGTAGTACAAAATAAAGTAATACGGATCATGAGGTTTTAGTAGCTATCTATCTCACTGTAGACCTCTTTTTGAAAAATTATCAATTTTTTTCATTACCCTGTTGCTATATATTGGAGTGCCTTCTATTCATTCATAAAAAATGTTTAACAGATGGTGTTGTACGGCACAATCATATACATTCATACTCAACTAGAAACAGTGATGATATCTGCATAACATTCTGTAGAATTAAGAAAACACAAAATTCATATAGATATATCAGTGCTAAGCTCTATAATGCCCTACCACACAGCTATAAAGGTTCAACTTATTCAGTATTTAAAAATAATACGTGATACATACTGATGTTACATTGTTTTTATTCAGTTGAGGAGTTTCTCCTCCACATGCCCTCCTGTACATGCGAGTTCCATGTTGATATTTGAACCATGGATTTATTCTCGTGTGTCATGTTTTACTTTAATTTTTCTTTTTATTATATATTATTGTAGTGCCTGTAGTTTCGATTTTAAAGTGTATCTGTGACGAGTGTAAAATTCTTGTAATTTTATATAAAATAATTTATCATTATTATTAATTAAAATTAAATTACTGATGAATTTTCAGGAATATCTTGGAAATGGTTTGGTTACTGCTGGGGCCCGTTTAACAGAACTTGATCTCAGTGACAATGCATTTGGTCCTATTGGGGTGCAAGGATTAGCAGAACTTCTCAAAAGCTCATCTTGTTATGCACTAGAAGAACTTCGGCTTAACAATAATGGTTTAGGCATAACTGGAGGCAAGTTGTTGGCATCGGCCTTGACAGATTGCTATAATTGTAGCAAAAGTAAAGGCAAACCGTTGGCACTGAAAGTTTTCATTGCTGGCAGGAATCGATTGGAAAATGATGGTGCCAAAGCACTGGCTCAAGTATTCAAAGTGAGTTTAGATAGGTAATAATGAAGAGTACTACATTGAACATTAACTTTCGAGTTAACTGTTCAGGCGAGGCTTTCGACCAGAATTATTGTGCCCAGTATAATATCATTGACAATTCCATGACGTATTCGAAATTCTCGGCTCCTGCGATAAAATAATCAATCAGAATGGTGTGTCTCGATAGTATAATACTCCATCCTTTCGAGCCGGTCGTCATAGCAACCACGAATCTGAATAGAACAACATCTTCCAACTGGTATGACATAGAAATTTCAGTTTTATGTAGGCGTGGCTCATAACAATACTATCAAAAATTCTTCCAGAAATCTATGAGTGGATCAAATTGCTTTGTGGTAACACTTTGAGTCCGCTTTCTGACAGAATAACTGCCAAAGTATTGCGAGTATTCATGGTATTATCCCTGATGGGAATTAGTAAAATAGTAGAGTAGAATTATCTCCAGTGTTTGAGCTTATAATGGCTGATGACTCGAAGGACCTTCTGCTCAAATATATTAACAACTGGCTTATAAAACAAGGCTAATACTGCTAATAGTAAGGCCTGTTCGTTTTTGCTTGCTCTACCTGCTGAACTTCATTTTTTTCTATGACTCTCTCTGTTTACATCATGCCATGAACAGAGACAACTATTGGAAAATAATCAGCTTTAGCAAGTTTAGCAATACAAACGAACAGGCCTATAGTTTTCAATTTGTATATTCTCACAAAGTTGAATACACATCAATAATTCAAAAACTAACGATTCCCCAACAACCAACCGTCCCTAGAAACTACCGAGTTCCTCTACATCCAGAAACATTGTACCTGTGAAAGAGTGTGTATGAGTTTGGAGTTTATTCAGTCAATTGTAAATACATGCTAAAAGACTGAAGTAGTTCTTCAATGTTATAAAATTCAATTACATAAGATAACTAGCCCAGGTGCAGCTAGTATTTCCTGCCTGTATTATTGCCTCTTGTCTTTTGAGTGATTAATGAATAATTATGTGTATCTCAGTCTTGTGGAAGTGATAGTTTGTAGAATAAGTATTCATGATAATTATTCGAACTGATCGAAAAAAGGTAAGGTTAGAATATCTTTATTGACCATTTTGCTACAGAAGTAGGTCAATAGTAAGATGCGATTACGTCAATCATTCACTCAATGTTATTGCTTCCAAAAACAAACACTTTCACAGCAAGTGTTTGGTTATCGAGTATGTTAAATCAATTGAGTGTGGATAATATAAAATGCAATCAATTATAAAGATAACTTTCAACGGAAAACTGAAAATTTTATCAAAGGATTGAGAGAAAAATACTGCTTTTACTTAAAAGCCGGTAAAGGTAACAAAGTTGTTATTTTGGATAAAGAGGATTATTTTCAAAGGGTTGACAATCTCATCGAAGATGGTCCTTATGGAAAGTTAACGAGAAATCCATTACCAAAAATGGTCAGTCAGGTCAAATCAACTTTGAAAATATGCTTAAATCTTATTCGCGAGATTCACGAAGTGGGCGACATCTAGGTTACATAATACGAACTTCAAATTGGGGGAAAACATGTCGTCTATGGATAAAGTGCATAGACTACATTGCATTCAGCTTGCTGTAGCTATAGTCAAACTTGTCAATGACATAAAGTGTTGGCACTGTTGGTAGTGATGATGTTGTTGGTTATTTTTTTTTACATTATTACATTTTTATTAGTTTAATGAACAGTGAACGGGTGAAGAATTGGAGATAGTTCAAACAATTCAAACTAATTATGTGATGTGATGAAAAGTAAAATTGATTACGGTAGTTAATGGTAATAGTGGATCAAGATACTGTCTTAGAAAATTTGAGTTTATTAGAACAAGATCACCTAGGGGAATATGTAGAACCTGAAAATTTCATGTTAATGACAAAAAATAAACTATTTAACGTGACACATTTTAATATTCGAAGTGCAAACAAAAACTTTGATGAACTCTTAGCACTTATTGAAACATATAATAATATGACCTGTGACGTTTTTGTCTTGAGTGAATGCTTTATGAATGTATCTGTCAATAACCTTAATATACCAGGATATACAACGATACATAATGATGGCGATTTCAATAGAAATGATGGAGTTTTGATTTTGATAAAATCAAACCTCAACTACAATATTACTAGTCATAAACTAACTATATGTGGGGTCTCATTATGTATCGTTAATTTAACATTGAATAATGTATCATGTAGAATAATCGCTCTTTATAGGCCTAACCCAAGTAACCTGAACTCGTTTATTGATGAACTTGATTCATACCTGGATGAAATACAGTCCAACAAAATGGTTGTATTCATTGGTGACATTAATATCAATTTATTGAATGAAAACGACGTCAACGTGAATAATTATCTTTCTGTGTTAGCTAAATATGGATTTGTCCCATACATATTAAATCCTACAAGAATTACTGCTGAAAGTAGATCATGCATCGACCACATTTTCCTGAAACAACCTAACAATAACAATAATTTCAAATTCAATTCATATATGTTGAAGTGTAACATCACGGATCATTACCCAATTTCACTAAATATAGAGTCGAACTGCAAAAAAAACATAATAATTGATAACAGTAATTTTTATTCAATAACAAAAATAGATTATAAAAAGTTAGAGAACTTATTACAAAAAGAAACTTGGGATATGGTATTGAATGAAAATGATCCTCAAATTGGGACTAACCTATTTTTAAAAAAATTCAATGATAGTATAGAAAAATCCAAAAGTACCAAAGTATGGCACAAAAAGCATGTAAAAATAAAACCATGGATAACCGAAGGGTTAGTAATATCAATGAGAAAGAGAGACAGATTAAAAAATAAATTAAATAAATACTTCTCTTATGAGTTAGAACAAGAATATAAGACTTACAGAAATAAATTGAATAAACTACTAAATATAAATAAAAATAATTACTATCTCAGGCAAATCGAAATTAACAAAAATAATCTTGAAAAAACTTATCAACTAATATCAGACGCTACCAATGAAAGAGCAATTACTAAAAACATCTTAAAAATTGTTGATGAGGACGGTGTAGTATTTAATGACAACAAATTAATGGCAAATCATTGTAATAATTATTTTAGTAACGTGGGCTTGAACATGGTTAAAGGTATTGATACTCCAGCTAAAATTAAGGAAAACATTAAAGTAAACCCCAACTCCATATTTCTCAGTCCAATAACAAAAAATGAATTTATAGAACATATATCTACATTGAAAAATAACACTTCTCCTGGCGTAGATGGAATAACTAGTGAAACAATTAAACATAGTTACCAATATATTTTGCGACCACTGGAACATTTATATAATTTGATAATCCAAAAAGGACATGTTCCCACTCAGTTTAAGTCTTCTCTAATTACACCAATACATAAAGCTGGCGACAAAACTAAAATCAGTAATTACAGACCTATCAGCGTAATAAACAGCTTCGGTAAGATTTTTGAAAAATGTCTAAAGGCTCGCATAGTAAACTTTTTTAATGAAAATGGAACTATACACGATTACCAATATGGGTTTCGTGCTGGTATGGCTACCAGTGACGCAATGTACAATGTTATCAAAAGTATTATTGAGAGACTTGATGAAAACAAAAAATGTATTGCAGTGTTCCTAGACTTGGCAAAGGCATTCGACACTGTTGATCATGAAATACTGCTTGATGTATTGGAGCGTCTTGGTATTCGTGGTGCAGCGTTGGATGTCTTTCATAGTTATTTAGCCGATCGCAAACAGTGTGTCAAAATCAATGATACAATAAGTGAAACTATGACTGTAAAAATGGGAGTCCCTCAAGGAACCGTTCTTGGCCCAATACTTTTTCAAGCCTATATAAATTCATTGCTCTGTTTAGAAGTGAACGCAAAAATTATATCATACGCCGATGATACGGTTGCAATTTTTAGTGAAAATACATGGTCTGAAACAAAAAATACTGTCCAGTTAGGCATGGAAATGATTAATAAGTGGTTGAGTATGTATCGTCTCTCACTAAATGCTAGTAAAACCCACTATCTCGCACTCACTATAACAGATACAAATAGACCAACATTTTCCAGTATTGAAGTTCCAGGTATGAAAGATGAAATCAAGGAAACAAACGAGATCAAATATTTGGGCATAATTATTGACAGGAATCTCAGATGGAACAATCATGTTGATTATTTAACAAAAAAAGTGAGGAAGCTAATATATAAATTTTACCAGTTACGACAGTTCTTATCGAAAAGACTACTTATATTAATTTGTAAATCTCTAGCTGAATCACTATTTCGATATGGTATTTTGGTGTGGGGAGCAATGTATAAAAATTCTCTACAAAAATTAAATACAATACAAAATTATATTCTGAAAATAATTTTCAAAAAACAGAGATCCTTTCATACTAACCTTCTATATACAGAAGATATTAGTAATATCAGAACATTATATTTTCATAGTCTATGTATGTATGCATTCAAAAATAAAATACTTCATAATTCTTTTCCCACAGCATATTCTACTAGAAGCACAACAAACAAATTGCTACCCAGCCCAAAATACAATAAAAGTGTTTGTCACCGTTTCTTGACTTACACTTTGCCTAAAACTTGCAATATTTTAACTTTAGAGATGAAACAAATAAGAAATCATAAAGCATTTTCTAGAGAATCGAAGAAATTCATATTCGAAAATTACTCTCAATTTATTGCAATAGTGGAACATCAATAATTCTATCTGCACTATGTCATACCACTATTTAGCTCTAGCTTTCCGCAAACAACTGCAATTGTGAATTGAATGATATCGATCTGTAGCACAACACAAGTGTTAAGTCACTTAGGTGCTATTTCTGTACACAATTCTTAGCTTGTACCTAATTCTTTATATATATTTTTTTGTGTTATGAGAGTGACATTTATACATGTATAATTCCTGTAAACTCTGTAATTTTGTATTGGATTTGTGTGTAGATAAATAAATAAAAAAAAATAAAAAAAAAAATTATGACGAGCAAATCAATTGACATATAAAAGAACAGCTACATCATGTTTACAATACCCAGATTGTACTGCTTTGCAGGAACAAATACATATCCATTATCCTACAGGAGTTCCTCTGGACCCCAACTTCAATTTTACTTCATGTGGGAAAGATTTTATCGCCGAAGTTTGTAGACAAAGTGCAAAAATGTGCCTTTTGTTGAAATCTTCTGCCTCACACAAAATCACATTATTAGCACGGAGAACTGCTTCTCCTTTCACTACTTGTCGGCTTTTTCCATCTAAATAGAGCAAAATATCTCCCAAAGAACATCTACAACAGGCATTCTTAACCCTTTTTGATCGAATAATGACAATTCATGTCAAGAAATTTAAAAACTTATCAGTCTCATCAGTACACAGTACACAAGCTAATGGTACTAATGGGATTGAGTGAGGATTGAGTTTGTTTTCCCCCAGTTTTGACGTGGCTTTGACATGGATCGATGAAAACCGATCGCCACCTGGTAACATTGATTCCCCATTTGAGCATTAATCGGAATATAGGAAGACTATCAATTTCTCATCATGGGGCAAACACAGACGAAGAAAGAAGTGAATATCGCACAGGCTGGTAATAGTGGTGGCTCGACTAATAACACGGGTTGATCGTCGTTTTCAACAAAAGACATACTGAGTATCATAGTCCTTATTCTGGCAATAGTACTCATTTTATTTGTCTGCATATATACATACATACATGCTGTTTCATGGATGGATACATCAAAATATACATTGATTGATTGATTTTCACGATTATCACAAACTATTCCAATGCGGAAATGGTCCATTTACCCTGCTTGAAGCGATCTGGTAGATACTGAGAAGAAATTTTTTTCAAAATAATCTCATAGACGTTTTTTGGGAATGATTTAAAATATTTTGGATAAAATTGATATAATAGGTATGTGTCTATAGTTCTCAGCATCATTCTTATCACCTTTTTTGAACACAAGTGTTACAATAGAATGCTTAAAAATATCAGGATAAATACCAGTGGCAATGAAAATGTTTGATAAGTTATCGAGCCTATCAGAAATTCGCTTGCTAGTTTCATTATGCCACTATTCAAATTATAAGCATCTAGCTTTTGAGATTTTCAATTGGGATACGATTTCATGAATCTCCTCTTGTGACGGGGGATATAAAAAATGAGTGGCAAATTCTGGGTTCTTTATTAATAAGTATTTTGAATTTGTTTTTGTCAACATTACTAAAATTTTGCGTCCATTTTTCAATCATGAAAATATTTAGCTAAACATCCACCATCTGTCAATATTAATATCAATTTCGGCTTTTTTTGTCTGTTTGGGTTAATGATATCCCCAATTTTTTTTTGTATGTATGATCAATTGATATTCATTACAGGACGTGGTAAATAGCCAGGAAAGTAGTTGTTTTCTGTTGAATATTCAGAATGATATTATATGCATATCTTTATATGAAGGAGAATGCAAATTCTCTACTTAAGAAGATTTTGTTTTCAAATTCATATCGTGTGTTCAATAGATGTAATTCAATGTTCGTCGTGGCATATAGCTAGGAAAGTAGTTGTTTTCTGTTGAATAAACCGAGAAAGAATTGATATTTTCATCACATGGAGAATGTGAATTCTCAATGTATTCCTTTACATATATGTCCATTTTTTTGTGTTCATAAATATATCTGAGAATATTCCTTCTCAATATCCCAAATAGCTTTTTGTTCATTTTTAGATTCATAAATGAGTTACTTGTTAGCCTTTAATTTTGATTCATTAATAGATTTTTTACATAGAGTTTCTAAAAATGTGTGGGCTCTGTAAACCTCATCTTTATTTGTAGAATTGCCACAAACTGAACAGTTTGAAGAGATTTTTTCATTTGTATCATGTTTTCATCGAAAATGAACGTCTTCTGTTTCAGACAGACTGTCCTTATCCTTCTTTCTTTCAATGCATCATTGAAAGAGTTTGAAAGTAAGGTGACTAAGAAGTTCAATAAATTTTTAGGGCAGTCCATATTGTAAAATGGTGTCCAATCAGTATTTTTCAAGTTTTAAATGATATGATTTATAATTATTTTTAGATTTTTCCTGAGTGGCTGTGGAAAATAGTATTCCTTTGTGATCATGAGTATCAATAACATTAACCGATATATCAGATATATTTTTAAAATCGTTGTCTGGTAGCACTATTTTTTGTTGCTCTAGTTATTTCAATACTTATTCTGATAAGTTATATGAAAACAAAATGTTTCTACACTCGTTTGTATTATTACAAAATTTACTGAAGTTCAAGTTGACGTCCCCTATCACGAATATATTTAAATGTTAAATGAGAAGCGGTCCAAGGGCTGAACCTTGGGGCACACCAGCTTTGGTATTTCCAGTTTGGCTTGAAAAGCAATTAGCTACTGGGAATTGTTCGCGATGTAGTAGATATTTTTTTATCTATAAGTGAGCAATTCCTCTTATTCCCTTTTCTTCAAATTTTGTAAGTAATATAGAGAAATCAACAACATCGAATGCTTTTCGTAGATCAAAAATACGGCAAGGGTGTGATATTTATCATCCAGTGAAGAATCAATGTCTTTGTTAAAGTCTATGGTTGGACTAAAAGTGCTTCTAGTTTCTTGAAATCCATATTGATAATCGTCAAAGTACTGAAACAGGTCTATAGTTATCTATGATGTTATTTGGGCCAGATTTGTGTATGTGTACTTTGTTTGAAAGATTTATTTATTAATTTTACTGAGATGGGAATACTATAATATTTTGATAATTAGATAATACAGAACTTTTCACGCGTTTCTGATGAGACTCCTCTACCAAGAATAAGAGAGAAAAAAAAGTTAACATAGCTTCTCTAGTGCTTGGTTTATGGTCTGATTCAGGACATGTTATTAGTGTTTTTATTCTCTATTGTTTTTTAAATTTCTAGATGGTAGGCACCTTGGAGGAGATATCTATGCCTCAAAATGGTATTTATCATCCAGGAATATCTGCTTTATCAGATGCATTCACTCACAATAAGAACCTTCAAGTTTTGAACTTGAATGATAATACTATTGGACCAAAAGGTGCAGAGGCAATAGCTTCTGCTATGCCTAATTTGCAGAACTTGAGAGAAATCAATTTTGGAGATTGTCTGTTGAAAACCAAAGGAGCACTTCTGTTAGCAGAATCTTTGAAGAACTTTCATCAAAACTTGGAAGAATTAACACTTGGATTCAATGAGATCAAGAAAAACGGAGGAATTGGGATAGTGGAAGCTATGGCAAACAAAAGCAAATTAAAACAACTGATACTCGATGGAAATCAATTTGGTGAACAGGGGCAAGAGGAGATCAAGAAGAAATTAAAAGAAATTGGTAAGAATTGGTGATTTGCTGAGATAAATAACATTGCGTTGGCATGTATTAAAGAAGTTCAAACCAAATTTCCAGGAGTGAGTTTTTCCTTTTTTGTCATGCAGCTTGTCTACTATTCTTTTGAGAAACAATTTTTTTGAGCATTGATTGATATTGAAGGAAATTTATATTTGTACCTGTTTGTAGTTTTGTAGTACCAATTGTTATTTCCATATTTTCACCATTAATGTCTAATTTTCTTGACCATCCTGTTTGTCCAGGTAAACTACATACTTTGGGAAGTCTGGAGGAAAATGAATCAGAAGACAGTGAAGAGGATACAGATGATGAAAATGTTGATGATGAAAGTGAAGAACACTCAGAAATTGAACATAGTGAGAAGGAAAATGATGTTATAGAAGTACCTCCCTCAATCCCTACAACTATAACTGTGGAAGAGTTTCTCAAAACTCCTAGTTCCAATAACTTTCTAGCACTAGGAAATGATAGAATAGATTTGATCTTCAGATATGTCAAGGTAAAAATATGAATTAACAGTCCATTTTTATAGCAATATTCTGATGTACTAAATATTAATGCTAGAATATATAACTTATGTACTAGGTGAACAACTGAGAACGGCTGTCGGCGTGATCTGGAGTATCAATAGATATCGTGAATTAAAGATGTGATGTATGCATATTATTATTACACAATCATATGGAGAAACTAAATATCAACAGACCAACGAAAACTGCAACATGATAGATTTTTGCTAACGGAAGATATTGACGATCAAAGTTGGAAAAAGGATTGATGCCAGCCGTCCTTAGTTGTTCACCCTGTACAGAGATATTTTCAAATACTATACTAGACTTGACTTGAAATAGATGATTTGCAATGATTTAGAAAATTGTTACAAACTGAAAAATGACTGACTGGCCATTTGGTGCAACTAGAAAAGAAGATTTATTATTATTAATATCATTTCCTACATATTAACCACATAATTTTAAACTCCTAAGAAATAATCATGTACAACATTCAAAAAGCACCTTGAATAGGTTAGATAAAAAAAAATGTAAATTCAGTTCAAAAGTAGTACACATAACATGTTAACTACATTATTTTGACCTTGTAAGAAACACAAAGCATCACATTCAAATTTCTTTATCACACTTTGGAAAAGAATCCTTAATAGGTGAGGTGTACTTGTAAATTCATGGGAGCATGCAGTCAGTATACAGAGTGTCCGTCCGTTAAAAGGAAGTCAATCCATTAACCATATATTCCGTGAACAAGAACAATATGAGTTTCTAAATACCATTTTTCATTTTAGCCCTTCATATTCGATATACAGGGTGTCAAAGTTGGAAATTAAATTAAACGTGTTGAATTTCTATCAATTTTTTTTGTTGAAAAAATTATTTCAATACATTCGCTCTGAGCACCCAGTATTTCCATATTCACGTTTTCGTACGTAAAAAGTTACGCCCACTTCCAATTTCGACAAAATAAATAGGAGTATGTGAACATTATGAGATTACCGTTAGCCGCATAGGTATCAAACAATAACTAGTACTTTTCGAATTATCTTAAAAATAAATAATTTTATCGAAATTTCACAAGAGACAAAAATTACTCAAAAATGATTGAACACTTGAAGAACAATAGATAGGAAGTCATTAGCGCACGTGCAAAAAAATATAGGGGTAAGTGTGTACTTGACCCCCAGTATTTCGAATATTTGACAGTTATTTTCTGTTTTGTTTTCCTCACACGATGTAACTCTTTGTGCTCAAGTAATGTACCAATTAATTAATATCTTATTAAATACGCGAGTGATAAAAAAAACAGTTTTTAATTTCCAACTTTGACACCCTGTATATCGACAAGAAGTGCTTAAATGAAAAATGGTATTCAGAAACTCATGTTGTTTTTGTTCAAGGAATATATGGTTAATGGATTGACCTCCTTTTAGCGGACACCCTGTATAATTATTTCAAAATTACCCTGTATCCATCATAGTATAGATGTATCTAATGTCTATATAACCAGAATTCTACCATATTTATATTCCAAAGTCATTCAGCATTGGGCTTAGAACAAAAATCGAAAATCAATAACTTCATAAATAATATTCTGAGTAAGTAAACCAACATTTAACCTGGTGTCACCCAGGTGGAAAATCTGTATATTATTACCCAGGTGGGATCTGATGTACCCCATAAGCCCATAATCAAAAATACGAGGAAAAACATTAGGAAGTCTTTCGGATTTGTACGGGAAGTGAGTTTTTAGATGTATTTACTTCATAATCATGTTTTTTCCCGTGAGAAGCTCGCCATTTATGTTTTTGATGATATAAGAAAGAAGAAGGAAATAAAGAAAAATCTTTATTAACTCTAACAAGGACCTCAAAAAAGATATAGAGCATGTTATACAATAATATTAAAATTAAACTTATTAAACAAACATGTAAGTGGAAGGGTAGTCGTTGCTGACTAGTTAGGTATTGACTAGTAAATAGTGTGGTTTTGCAGCAAGTAAAAGAGAACTCTTCGAAGATGATCCAAGCTTTCGGAATTTTATTGATTCCGTCATCAGGGAAAACTACAATAATTATTGTCAGTAATACAATATATAAGTTGTCAAAATTGTTGTACTTACATCTACGTGAGGATGAATACCATCTAAACTTTCAAGCTACATTAGAGAAAACCAAATTTTTAACACAAGACATTTTAAAATGTGACTTTTTTAGAGTAAATACAAAAATAAACAGTAATTCAACAGAATTGTTTTCAATTTTGTTTTTAAAGCTTTAGTTTCTAGGGGTTCCAATAGCAGAGATAATTTGTTCCATATTTTTTTTATTGAGTACTCAATGTTTTTTGGATATCTCATGAATCAAAATCATCATAAAAAGTTTATGTTTATTATAATTATAAACAGAAACTTTTTAAAATAACTTTTTAAAGTTTCTGTTTATAATTATCCTTAACATAAACTTTTTATAATGAGTTTAATTAATGAGATTTCATGAAAAACATATATATGGCGAGCTTCTCACGAAAAAAAGAACGTGAAATCTTTGAATACTGTTGAAATAATATATAACACTCAATTCTGTTAGACTTTATGCAAAACTAATTAAATAGTGATAACTTCATACGAGGATGTACACGTATCTTTCGGAATGAAATGTACATCTCTATAACACAGGTGGGGCTCCTAAGACCCCAGAGCTGTTTACTTCACTGTCACTATCTTGGTAGCTGAAAAGTGTTATGGGAAGCTATAGGTGACCAATGAAATGTGCGCGCTATCAGATGGAAATAAAAGTGATATAAAGTTTGTTGGGACAAGTCAGACACCACGTGGGTTGGGGTGATGCCGGGTTAAGAGGGGCGTAACCAAGGTCATTTCACAATGGCTGGAATGCAGACCTCTACTATGAAATGACTTTCGGCGTTATTAAAAGTCCGATTGCCAAATAGATTGAATCATCATAAAGACGAAAGTTCCGACTCGGGTTTGGATAGTTTTGAAGGCAAATTTCGTTCGATTAAGAAAGCTGCAGAAGATCAAAAAGATGTAAACATTGTAAAATTTTGTGTCTCAGAATAACGTTATATTCACTCATACCCTGCGTTATTATTTTGGGCAACCCACACTAGAATTTCAGCTCTTGAAATGTAACCATTTAGATGAAAGCCTTTTTTATATTCAATTTATGTAAACAATAGGCCTATATATCTTGTATGGATAATATCTTCTCTAAATTAGATGGTAGAAAACTTGAATATCGTAGTTCAGGTACTCTCTGCTAGATGAAGGTACCGTCGCAGCAGTCGGCTCTAAAAGCATCTAATCTAGTACGTTTTGCGCGAACTGGATGATGTACCATTAGATGGAGCTCAAAATGTGAAAAGTTTGTTATTTGTTCAAGAATGCCTTTGCACGTTCAAGGTTGTCGGAGGCAATAGCAAACATTTATCACTCATTTTTTAATTCACGAATGGCGGTAAATTCGAATTTGTTAGTAATAGTTGTACTGGATGTGCTTCTAACGAGCGCATCACGGACGTGAGATCATGAAAAAAGTTTATAGAAATCGAATTGGTGTGAATCACAAAATTTTATGTCTCAACAATATATGTGTAGTGTATTGACCAACCTTTACGAGGTAGTGTAGTGTATAGACTATCCTTTACCTATCTATGCGCACGCACCATGTCACCTGCTATCATGTCAGGTGCCAGTAGTTCATCAGGATCACCGAAAGAGATAATGTCGGCATTGTAATTTAACAGTTTTGAAGTTAATAAATAACGGTAAATGCAATTCGTGTTTCAATTAAGCAAAGACATTTCATGGCGACGAGGATAAAAGTGATTTTGTGAAGTTCGCGGTCGTATAGACAACATCTGATAGCAGTAAAACCAAGTAAAACAGACGCGAGTTGGAAGTGCAACAAGTGCGACCGAAAAACATAAATATGCCGGATCCCATTGACGCGATCGGCACAGGACTCAATTTGGTTTTCGATCCAAAGACCAGTGATTGGCGGGTATTTATCAAGCGTCTAGAGCAATATTTCATTGCCAAAGGAATCACTGATGATAACATAAAAAGGGCAGTATTATTGTATAGCCTCGCTGAGGAGGCCTATTTATTGTTATCTGATTTGTCGATTCCAAATAACCCTGAGCAGTGTAGCTACGAGGATATATCAAAAAACTTGAATAGTTACTATGCAAAAACCAGTGTGGTATGGGTCGAACGCACAAAGTTTTTTGCGGCAATCAAGAACCAGGATGAGTCAGTGCAGGAATGGAGTGCGCGGTTAAAAAACTTAGCGAGTCATTGTGAATTCGGAAATAGTCTCGATTCAAAACTGACTGATATGTTTATTTCTAAATATAATGAGAGTAAGGTTAAGAACTCTCTGTTCGGGTTGAAGGCAGATGTAAGCTTTCAAAAGGCTATGGAAACAGCGGAAATTGAAGAAGCCGCTATAGCAGGCATGAGAGAAGTGAAGTTAGAATCACAATCACAAATAAAAACTGAACCCCATTGGGATGAAGATGTGTACGTTCATCGGGTGGCATCGGCAAGGGGGAGAGTGGGAAATAGTAGCATCAGTTCCAGTAGTGGTCCCAGTCAACGGGAACGGGATACATATTCCCAAGGCCGGCAAGGCCATAGAAACAATGTCCAGAATTACCGAAGAGACGGTTATTCTGGTTATGGGACATACCAAGGGAAAACATTTCAACGTAATCAAGGAGGAAACGCCAGGAGCGGAGGTAGTGATAGTGCTAGTGGAGAAAGTGTGCGAGCAAAGTGTTATCGTTGTGGAAAAAATCATTATGCCAATGAGTGCCCTTATAAGGAATATATTTGTAGTGGGTGTAATGGTAGAGGACACCTCAGAGCGGTATGTAAACAATCAAATAGATCCTTGAGATTTTTAGAAAGTGATGAGCATTTTATCGAGAGGGATGAAACATCACCAGTTTTGTGTTTACATTC